GCACAGGCTCCGGACGTGCAGGCCCAGAGGCCATGGCTCACGGGCCCAGCCGCTCCGCGGCACGTGGGATCTTCCCGGACCAGGGCACAAACCCACGTCCCCTGCATCGGCAGGCAGACTCTCAACCACTGCGCCACCAGCAAAGACCTGTATGATTTTTTTTAAAGTCCTTACATGGTGGGACTTCTCTGGCAGTCCAGTGGTCAAGACTCTTTGCTTAAAAAAAAAAAAAAAAAAAAAAAAAGACTCTTTGCTTCCAGTGCAGGGGCCGTGGGTTCAATCCCTGGTTGGAAACTAAGATCACATGCCAGGTGGTGCAGCCAAAAAAAAAAGTTTATAGTCTAAGAGAGAGGTAATGCATTGTAAAGAAAATAATTGCAGTGTAATTGATCTCTTTGTGCCTCAGTTTCCTTCTCTGTAAAACACTAGAATAATATACCCACCCCATGGTATTGAGAAGATTAAATGGATTAATAATATTAAAATGCTTAGAACAGAGCTTTGCACTGTTAGCTGCTGCTATTAATAGTTACTGTGATGTCTATAATAGAAGTGCTGCACAAGGTAGAGTGGAGTGTCAGCAGCCTTATTTTGATAAGGTTGGCACAGGTTTTACAGAGGCTCTGAATGTTGCAGGATCAGGAGGAGTTTTTCAGATGTTGTAGAGGAACGCAAAAAGTTACAGTTGCAGGCAAAGGGGGAAAATGCATGAAAACATATGCAGATATGAGCCAGGCTAGCACATTCAGAAAATGGAGTAGATCAGAATGATTGGAATATATGACACAAAGGGGAGAGGAGGTTAGCTCGGGGACAGGTCATGGGTAGTCTTTTCTGCCGCGCAAAAGAGTTTCCTCTCCGATTTAAGTGTCAGTGTAGAAACTAGATTAGAAATACTACCTTCACATAAGCCTCATCTGAGCCTCATCTGAGAGCAGTGAGTTGGTTCAGCTCTTAAAGCACCTGTTGTGTACCAGGCACCATGCTAAACTAAATCCAGGCGATCCAAAGGTAGCAGGCCTACTTTGTGGTATCTCTGTTGAGCAACTAAAAATCCTCAGTTAAAAGAGCTCTGTGCTGATATAAAAAAAACCCTGCCGCAGACCATGGCAGTGAGGTAAGAGTCACAGGTAAGAGTGAAACCCAAGAGGGAATCCTAAAATGTCAGGACTAAAGAAATGGATTGCCAGCGTACTGACACTTGCTTTCTGATGTATCGACACAAACTTTTGCTTCAGGGAAGGTGAGTCCATCAACTGATTCCATTGTTCCTTGTCATCCAGCATTTCCCTCAGGTTGTTTTTATCCTGATTTTGCAGGGTGTTTCCTGATTTCTTGTTACACAGTTATTTCCATCTACTTTCTGAATTCTAGATTCATATGTGAAAATTGGGCTTGAGATTAATTTAAACCTTTTCAAAGTTACACTTGTATTCGTTTGCGATTTAAGGAGTAGATATATTAATACAGTTTGGAAGCCAAAATAAGGTTAGTGTGATTTAAAATTCTAAATAGTTCCAATTCCAATAGACCCTTTTAAAATTTTTAATTATTTTTTATTATGGTACAATATATGTAAACATAAAATTTGCCATTTTAACCATTTCTATTTATACAGTTCAGGGGCATTAATCACATTCACAGTGTTGTGCAACCATCACCAGTATCTATTTCTAAAACTTTTTATCACCCCAGAAAGAAACTGTAACCATTAAATAATAACTCCCCATTCTCTCCACCCCCAAGCTCCTGGTAACCTCTAATCTATTTTCTGTCTCTATGAATTTTCCTAATCTAGATGTTTCTTATAAGTGGCATCATATAAAATTTGTCCCGTTGTGTCTGGCTTATTTCACTTAGCATGTTTTCAGGGTTCATCCATTTTGTAATGTATATCAGAACTTCATTCCTTTTTATGGCTGAATAACATTCCATTGTATGTATATACTGCATTTTGTTTATCCATTCATCTGCTGATGGACACTTGGGTTGTTTCTAGCTTTTGGCTAATGTGAATAATGCTGTAATGAACATTGGTCTATAGGTATCTATTTGAGTTCCTGATTTCAGTTCTTTCGGTTATATACCCAATAGACTGTTAAGTTCCTTAAGAGTAGGGTACCTATTTTATTCATCATTTTTCTACCCCCTGGCATGCAGTTTAAGTGCATATCACTTAGGAGTCACTAATTAAATGTTGAACTAATCAGAATATCTGTGTTTCTTAACTTTAGGCAGTAGATTGAATACATGAAGACTTGTTGCTGCGCCATAAAACTGGTATACAATGAAAATTTAAGCTTTTGTTGCTGAGTTTCATCAAGGCAGATTGCTAAGTTAGAACTTCTTAGGAAGAAACTGCTTTAGCCTAAGACTGTGTACTGTTAACTAAAAGGCCAACCGGGTTGTTTCATTCTGTGTGGGTCTGTTTTTTTTGTTTTTAACAGTGAATGCATAAAAATACAACCAACTGACATCCAACCTGACATATTCAGCTATTTGTTGCACATTATGTACACGGGGAAAGGGCCAAAACAGATTGTGGATCATAGTCGTTTGGAGGAAGGGATTCGATTTCTTCACGCCGACTACCTTTCTCACATTGCGACTGAAATGAATCAAGTGTTCTCACCAGAGACTGTGCAGTCCTCAAATTTATATGGCATTCAGATCTCAACGACCCAAAAAACAGCTGTCAAACAAGGGCTGGAGGTCAAGGAAGCTCCTTCCAATAACAGTGGAAATAGAGCTGCTGTCCAGGGTGACCACCCCCAGTTGCAGCTCTCTCTTGCTATTGGGCTGGATGATGGCACTGCAGACCAGCAGAGGGCCCATCCTGCTGCCCAGGCCTTGGAGGAGCACCAGAAGCCCCCCGTGTCCATCAAGCAGGAGAGATGTGACCCAGAATCTGTGATTTCCCAGAGCCATCCCTCACCCTCTTCAGAGGTGACAGGCCCTTCTTCCACTGAAAGCGGTATCAAAATACACCTATGCCATTACTGTGGGGAACGTTTTGATTCCCGTAGTAATCTAAGACAACATCTCCATACCCACGTGTCTGGATCCCTCCCGTTTGGTGTCCCTGCTTCCATTCTGGAAAGTAACGACCTTGGTGAAGTGCATCCACTTAATGAAAATAGCGAGGCTCTTGAATGCCGCAGGCTTAGCTCCTTCATTGTCAAGGATAATGAGCAGCAGCCTGACCACTCACACCGGGGTACCACAGAGCCTTTGCAGATCAGTCAAGTGTCTTTGATCTCCAAAGACACTGAGCCAGTAGAATTAAACTGTAATTTTTCTTTTTCAAGGAAAAGAAAAATCACCTGTACTATCTGTGGTCATAAATTTCTCCGAAAGAGCCAATTACTGGAGCACATGTATACACACAAAGGTAAATCTTACAGATATAACCGATGCCAAAGGTTTGGTAATACATTAGCCCAGAGATTTCAGCCATATTGTGACAGCTGGTCTGACATCCCCCTGAAAAGTTCTCGCTTGTCGCAAGAACAGTTAGACTCATCTTGTGCCTTAGAGTCACAACTCACACAAGAAAATGTGGATACTATCCTGGTTGAGTAGCAGTTTCTCCTTCAGGATTTTTGTATCAGTTCTGAAAAAGAAAACTCACATACATTTTTTAATTCATAAATTATTTTTCTCCTCAAGTTCTATTGACTTTTTCTTTACCATTTATCCATAGTTTTAAGGTTGTATGTATTAGATCTTCTTATTGTAAGATATATTGATACATAGCTACTAAAATGTAACCTTCAATTAGGGCTGTGAACTTTTCATAAATTAAATCACAAATTAGAAATCAGAAATCAATATAGAAGTATGGAAGTTTTTCCAGGTTGTAGAATCTGTAAAATCAAATTGAATATAAAATAAGTGAAATCTTTTTTAAAGAATATTCTAGACTATCACTTTTGGTTAATGTTCCACATGAATTAAGCCCTTATGAGGATTATTTTTAAATATTTTCTGCCATACAGGGAATTAATAGTTTTTAGTGCATAACTATATGTTATAATGTATAAGACATTTGTTTTAAGGCATAGCTATACCAAATCATGAGTAGTTTTAAATTACTTTTTACTTACTAGGTCTGCAACATCTTATGTGGCTTTATTTTTTTAACACTGAGCATACCTCATTTTCAGTAAAAAAATATTTAACAGAGAGAAAGGGAGAAGAGTCGGAAACACACACAAAAACTTAAAGAAACAGTAAGATACATACACATAGATAAGCATAGAAGCCCCTGGTGTTAGAGACAGAAATTCAGATAGATCTGTGTTGACTGACACCCTAGTGTTGTTATCTTAATCTAGAGTGTTTTCTTAAAGACTTTAAGGGAGGGGCTTCCCTGGTGGTGCAGTGGTTGAGAGTCCGCCTGCCGATGCAGGGGACGCGGGTTCGTGCCCCGGTCCGGGAAGATCCCACATGCCGCGGAGCGGCTGGGCCCGTGAGCCATGGCTGCTGAGCCTGCGCGTCCGGAGCCTGTGCTCTGCTACGGGAGAGGCCACAACAGTGAGAGGCCTGCGTAACGCAAAAAAAAAAAAAGACCTTAAGGGAGTTTGAGATTTTTATGACCAGAGGTTTACATGAGCTTATGAGGTAAATGATAAAATACAAATTATCTTTCTACCCACAGTATCAGAAGATTTTATAGGCTACCTGGGTTGACATTAATTTTCTAATAATCACCTGAAAAGGTAATTTTTCCGTGGCACAATTTAAACTTTTTTCTGGTCCATAAAACCAGTAGAGTAGATATAGTCAGTGTCCTAGAACTATGTTTAAAATTCATGACAGCCTTCCCTCTATGAATCAACTTAACTCCCTTTTATATTGGTGAAACTTACAAAGCTAAAATTCCAGAAAAATTAAAATTGGTGGACTGAATGATAGATTCTCCTGCTCTGTGTAGCTGGGAAATAGCTGGTTAAACTTCACCGCAGAGGATAGACATAAATTGTTTCTGAGATGTTTAAATTTAAAATACTAGATAGTCAAGGATAACAAAAGAGAGAGGCTTCAGAACAGCCTTATCTTTTTTTGTATGCTGCCCTGCTAAATTCTAAACCTCACAGGTATTTTAGTAAATTTAAAAAATTTGGTTTGTGAAGATTAGAATTAAACTACGTACAGAAACTGTTTGAGACTGCTCACTTCTGCGGTTATTTCCTGACATCAGAGTTCCTCAACAGTATCCGAGTTCAGTCAGGAGGTAGCTCAAAGAGAAATCCAGCTTATTCTAAGGGCACAAAGGTTTTCTCTGGGTTATCAGTGAGTTTAGGTGAATTATGAACTGATAAGTTTTTCTTAAGGAGTGAATGAAGAAAACCAATGGGCATTGTCTAAGGTGGTTGAGTTTCTGTCGTAGACATGGATGGGAAGCCTTGTGGGGCCCGGGTTGACATATGTTAAGAGCAAAATCTAAGTAGCTATTGATACAGAGTCAGTTGTATTGGGAGTAGTTAAAACAAATGTATTGCTCTTTAGTGTCAGAACTGCATCTAATCTTATACGTAAATCATTTAAGTAATTATTCAAACTCATACTGTCCTCAAAGACTTCATCTCATAGGATGAGCACAAATATTAACATTGATTTCATGTATCTTAGGCTATTCTAGATATATTCCCTAGCTTTCTTCAAGTAAAGTTTTATTTTTCTCATTTAGATAAAAATTTTCCTGATTTTTCTCTTCTGTTTTCTTTCCTACTTGCTCAGTTATTAGTTGTTGACACAAAAAAGTGTGTATAGCTAAAGGGTGGGAGTAAGTGTGCATATGGATTGTGGTGTAGGGCAGCAGTTCAGGGCAGAGTCTGGATGTGGCAAAAGTTTGCTTTTGGCTGACTGTTCATGATAGACAACATTAACTTAAAGCAGAGATATATCTACTTTTGTTGGGTGTTAAGAAAAGAGTGCTTAACTGTATTTTTATTCTTATTCATAAAGTTCCTTTTAATATTAGGAATTCAAAACAAATGTTCTTTTCCTTCATCTTCACAGTATTCTGTCTGTATTAGGAAGTGGGAAAATGATTACTCCATTTTATAGGAAAATATCCCAAAACCTGGGTTCCAGAGAGCCAGTGAATAGTGGTGTGGGGAATGACCCCAGTTTTATCTTTTTCATTCATTCAACAGGAATATTTTAAAAATAGCTATTTTATGACTAACACTGTGCCCTGAGTGTATTTTTTTAAGACATGATTCCTCACTAAGAAAAATCTACTTTGTATAAAAAAGTCCTTCCAGCAAAACCCTTTAGTTTTGACTACGTCATTTGTAAAATGGAGCTGTTATCTTAGCCATATAGTATGGTTTGCATGATGATTACCAAACTCTTAAAACTGGAAATGCTGTGTACACCTTAATGTATTGGGCAAGTACTAGACAGACATTTTCCCTTTGGATCAGCTTAGAATTTTCCCTTCTTTCTAGATCCCACATATAGTTGTTCTCTGGAGGAAAACAGACTGTTTCAGTATTTGTCCTTATTAGCCTATTGTCAGAACTCAGTATCTGATAAGTGCAGTCTGCCTTATAAGAAAACCAAAATTTCTTGATTTATCTCCTGAGATTATTATCTCTTTCTCTGATTTTCTGACTTCCCGTCTGTAAAGTGTCTGTAAGCAATCCCTACCTCACAGGGGTGTTGTGAGGATTTGTATTAAAACTGAGTTAAGTTCTATCAGTATTATTGGTAAAAACCACCCATATAAAGAAAACTACATTCTACATGTTTTCTGCAGCTAAACCTATCAACTTTAGTATTCCAACTCATAAATTCTAGAATGTCTTAAAAGCAGTCATGTACTACTTAATACTCAATAATTAATTGGCAGAATTCTTATTTTTTGGGCAGAATTCTTATTTTTTTTTTTTTACAAATACTCTAGAAACAGCAGTGTTGCTAGAATTCCTATTCTACCTACCATAGTTTAACCATCAGTATTTCTCTTCAGCCTTTAACAAGGAGGATATTAATTCTTTGGTGTTATTGGGAATGAAACCTTGCCAAGTGCAACTTTATTTAAAGTTCTCCCAAACAAATTATTTACATATAGGAAAAAGAACAGAAGCAATGGAGAAAATACCATTTTCATTTCTCTGATGTAGGTCATCTAAAAAGTAGATGGAGACCAGAAATGGAGCAGGGCAAATGACCAAGTAATTCATTATGTTTTGTCAAAATAGTAAGGCTTCACTTAAAACGGAAGGAAATACATATTAATCATGGAAGAAGATAGTCTGGAAAATGTATAATTCCACTGATATTTATTTGCACAGGCAAATTCTTGATGTTGTAACTCAGATCCTTGAGAAGTATCCATTTTTTTGTAGTAATTGAGGTAAAAATAGGCCATGTGAAGAATTTTCATAATGTAACTTGTATCTTTGTATGTTTTAAACTAAATGTAGCTCTATGGTATTTTATTATAATTAATTTTTGAATTCCTAAGAATGAAATCTGTACATTTTTATTCTTTGCTGTACTTCTGTGTTTGTATGGTTGGACTGTTTTGAAAACTGGTAAGATTATACAATCCTATGCCTGGCTATCTTAAATATAAGGAATTACAAACTGTGCTTTTTGTCTTCAAGACCTGGAGGAATCCTTTGAGCTTCAGTGTATATCTGTGCCACACTTGATTAATTAGTAGATATTGCTCCAATGCAATTGATGTTAACTGTCATCAACTCTTCTGTTTTGTGCCAAATAAAGTCATTTAATCAGATTAAATAAAATATCAACTTAAAATACTTTCAAAGAAACTTGGATTTCAAAAACCTGTACCCAAAAAAAAAAAGGCAAAAGGGAATTCCCTGGCGGTACAGTGGTTAGGAGTCTGCACTTTCACTGCCGAAGGCCTGGGTTTGATCCCTGGTCGGGGAATTAAGATCCCACAAGCTGCACAGCACGGCCAAAAGAAAAAAAGAAAAAACTTGTACAATGAAAAAGGGCCCCTGAAGAAATCTTCAAAGTACTAGTAATAGTAACACATAATACAGGAGACTGAAATCAATAATATATTGTATGGTTAAACTCTTCCACCTAATGTATTGTGAGTTTGCTTCACAAACATTATTTCAGAAAGTTTTGTATTCTCCATTTGGAATGAAAACTGTGAATTTCATGTATTTTATCATGACAAATAAATTAATGTGACTTGATCATAAAACCTTTTATTAACTCAGCTTATAGAATGTGTTCTTATTTTACAGCAGTGTCTGCCAAATGTTGTCTTCCTAGTGTTGAGGTAAGTAGTCTCTGTACCAGGTAACATTTCGGATGTGTGATGCAAAAATGCATCATTGAGTTCAGTTCTTACCAGGCATAATCTGTGTTAATAGAAAAGTTGTGTCCTAATCAAGTGCTTTCCAACTGCCATCTCTGGTAAGCAAGGTAGTATGTAGTCATTTCCCACAAGTTTCTTGCTTTGCTCCTTCTTTTCTTTCCTATTTTCTCTCTATCTCCTCCAGTAGCGTAATCTGCAACAGTGGTTCTTAGCCAGGACGTATTAGTCAGGTTCTCCAGAGAAACAGAACCACACTGCGTGTGTGTGTGTGTGTGTGTGTGTGTGTGTGTGTGTGTGTGTGTGTGTGAGAGAGAGAGAGAGAGAGAGAGAGAGAGAGAGAGAGAGAAAGAA